TGCGTATATTCTTTTTATATTATGTATATATTCTGCATATATTTTGCTTATTTTTTGTGTATATATTGAAGACTCAAACCCTAACATTTTATAATAAATTCTTTAGATCTTAAATTATATAAAAAAATTCCAATAAAGAAAAATGATTAGTGTAAATAATACTTGGTTTCTACTGATATTTTTTGTATACTTTGCATACCGTATGCGTATATTATGCATATAATATACGTATACTTTGCATATTTAATGCGTGTAATCTGTGTATATATTGCATATATATTATATTTTTTATACATAATTAATACGTATCACTCTCTTATCTAAATTAATTTTATAATAATTTACACATATTTACATCCATCCTATATCTTATCGCTGCTATGTTTCCACCTTTAGAACAATCTGTGATACTTTTTTCGAGATAATTTTTCTTGAAATTGAAGAAAAATTGAAGAACCTAAATATCTACCAATTTCTTCAATTTTCTGGATTCGAGCCAAATGCCCCACTAATTTACCAGCTGATGATAATGTGAAATATAGGAAAGCAAAGTTTTATTATAAAGGGTCATGTTATACCTTTCATAGCTGATGAAGTTGCCCTCCTTACTGGTCTTCCAAATAAAGGTAAAGAGATTACCTAGCTTACCTTGCCCACTGCAACCATCACTTCAAAGGATATAAAGTCTAAAATGCTAGAGTTGACTGGAGAAAGCCCCTTAGAGACTATGTTGAAAACATTTATTATGTATTTATGTTCAAATTTATTTTTCCAACAAAGCAAATTCAAAATCCCTAGGTTGTTAAAAATAATATCAAATAATGTTGATGCTTTTTCATCAATTAATTGGGCATGGTCGATTTGGGAATGCTTGGTTGAAGAGATTAATAATATATCTACGAAGATCTCAAAGAATAAGCTAGCAGGTTACGTCAATGGTTTTGTGCCTCTGCTAATTGTGAGTGCTAAAACAATTCTAATTTAATATTTAATTTAACTGATTGATTTGCTAAAATTTACTTTTACTTTATGTAGGTTTGGTTCCTAGAGCACACTTCCATTCATTACCTTAAGTACCCTGAGAAAAGGCCATGTTTTCTTCAATGGGCTGATGACATTGTATATAATACTAAGAAGACAACTAAATTATTTTTTAATTTAAAGAGAAGACAGGTATATATTGTGAATATATTGCTTATTTATTGTGTATGTCTTGCTTATGTATTGCGTAGGTATTGTATATATATTGCATATATATTTCATATATATTGCGTATAGATATGCAATAATGAAATTATTTAATGACAAATTTGATAACAAATTAATTTTTCATAGATTTTTGTTGACCTCCAGGGAGTTACCCCTAAAGAAGTTAATCTTGTGGGCATCCAAAAATATCCATCAAGCCCTCATTCTCCCATTCAAACAAATACACCTGAACATCATCTCCCTCCCCAATCTCCTCAGCAACACAAACCCAAATCTACCCTACAACCCTAACCCCAATCACCTAAGCATCCACACTTTCCATATTCACCTTAATCATTCGATGTTCTAGAAGAGAAAATAATGAAAATAGTCCAAGATACCTGCAAAAATCTCTTCCAAGAATTTGAAGCTAGGCTGAGCAGGAATTTGTGGGCTTAGAAATGCCATGACACACATTATTAATAGACTCGCTACGGTGTGTGGATAGAATGTCCATGCTAAAACATTCTTATTGAAGGTTGTCGACCACTTATTCCTTATCCTATAAAGATCCTGCAACCAAACATAATCTTGGAGGTTCCCTTGTATGATCAATTCAGTCCATGTATTCTCAAACTCCTCCTCAGAGTCATATTTGCTCAAACACTTATGGAAGAGGCCTTTGACTTTGTTGTTGGTATTGTAGCACGATACTTTTGATGGAGCCTTTTTATGGATATACCATTGGCACAGTCTATGGTGACTGTGAGGTAGTGCAACTTCTATGGCCCTAGCCATTGCCTGGTCTTGATCTGTATATATTATTTTTGGATGTTTATCACCCATCATTCGCACAAAAGTTGTAAACAGCCACGTAAATGATTCAATTGTCTCTTCGAACAAGAAGGCCACCCCAAGTAAAATGTTTTGCCCATGATTATTAACTCTGACAAATGGCGCGCATACCAAATTATACTTATTAAGCCTATAACTTGTATAAAAAATTACCACATCATCAAAGCAGTTATAATCTATCCTACCAATCCCATCAACCCAAAAAAATTTAATAATCTATCAAATTCATCCTTCTGGACATCCTAAGAAAACATGATATCATTAAGTTGACGTTCTTTAAATAACTCAATCAAAGTATTAGTGTCCCAAAATTCAATCTTTGCTCTTTTTATTTTTTGAATAAAGTTGTACGCATCCAATATTTTCGACACCTCCAACTTCATCAGCAAGAAAGGAAAATGCATCAATAGTTCTTATCCCGGTTTCTGCCATTGATTTAAGAACCGAAGCTTTTTCATCACACACATTCCTGCATGATCTAAGAAGATGTCGGTCTTCTGGCCTAGGCAAATCATGATTGTGATTTTCAATAAATTTTTTCACCTTCCAATATCCAGATTAATCCACTATAAACCAAATCATAGCTGGACAACCAGTTCGGGTGTCTGATTTTTGATATTTCCTTTGGATATTAAGATCAGGCAACTTCTTAAAACTAGCTTTTGAATAAACAATGTCCTTGGATTTTAAATTTCTAGAATTTGGCCAGTAACTGTGATGATCCTTACGAACACTAAAACCAAGATTTTGCCCATAATTACACTCATATGCCTCTTTCTCATTAACATAAACATCTTGATAAATACGTAATAAATAAATTATACATATGCAACCAATAAGTAGTAATTAAGCAGAACAATATGCAACAAATACGCAATTAATACGTAATGTATACCAAACAAATAAGTAATAAAATACTCAATGTATATCAAACAAATAAGCAATGAATACGCAATAAAACTTAGTAATGCAAAAATCATTCTACAAATTCCTTATTGTACCCTAGCTCAATACTACTTTAAAAGAAGGGACCACCGAGTCTTCTTTTAAAGTCAATTACAATTTAATATTATGTACATTATTGATAAAAGAACATTGTAAAGAAAACTTGGCAACATTGACTCTGTAAAGAAATTTAATGGTAACATTGTTGTAAAGAAAATTTGGAAGGATGCGAACTTTACCGATAAGATGAACTTTCCATCTATTCGCATTGGTTTTAACTGTTCTGCTTCCTGTGCGCTCGTTTCCTGGACGTTGGCATTCAGGTTATCGGCATCCTCCGAGCCCTGTGAGAATATTGTCTGTTCATAAAATAAACATCCTCGTCCAAATCTAGGTCAATCTTCATCTTTATCGGCTTTTTTTTTGCGAAAATTTTGACTGAAAGCATTATATATTACGGTGATTCGAGCCTTAAATTCTGAAAAAAAAAAGAAGCGCCAACCCTAAATTTAACGTTATGCCCGGGTTGGGCTGCAAGATAAATGATTTTGATAGGGTTGGGTATTGTTGGGTTGACGCAAGTCAAAATAAATATCTCGAACTTTTCACTTCCCACTTAAGCATCCGAACATAGCTATATATTCAGATTCCACACACAATAATTTCTCCTTATACATAACCCCACACGCAGATGCTTGAAGCAGCACTGCCCTTCTGCCCCTACCTGAGCGAAGCAGTACCTCCCAGATTAACAGCCCAGTTCGCCATGCCTCCCGTTATCCAACACACATGCGAGCTTTTAATCCCTCTCCTGTGCCTCTCACACGTTCACCATGCCTCCCGTTCCTCTGACCTGATCGTGGCACTCGCATAAAGAATCACCAAAGACTATAGAGGCTCGGGACTTTCCTCTGTACTAGCCATTCAACTCGTACTACCTATCGTGCTTCCCGTCTGATCTGCCTTCTCACACGAAGCCTGAAGATGAGCTTGATTTCTTTACTTGAGTTTGATTACACGCCCAAGGCTGCTCTTCTATTTAAAATGTGAGTTAGGAAGGAGGAGTGTTACAATAACTAGATTGGAGACTTGGATCATCGAATTGAAGATCAATGAGAGATTTTGGAGTCCATTTTAATCCCCAGAAGCCCTTGGATGTTGATTTGATTTGGTGAGCATACCCAAAAAGGAAAGTGCCCACCCTAACCTCCCCTCGTTGAGTGGGGGCAATGTAAGGTTGCCAATATTTATTAGGAAACGTTAACTTTTAAAACAAGTACCACAACCACCAAATTGGAGGACTCATAGATCAATATCGGGGTCGATTTGATCCGACCCAGCAGATCTGAAAGTGCAAGTGCCCTCCCTAACCTCCTCTCATTGGGTGTTGTGCTGGGAGGTTACCAAAATTCCCATGGGAAGCTATCGAATTTGCCTTGAGAAATTACCAAATTTTTCAGGTATTTTTTTAGAACAATTTTATTAATTTAAAAATAAATTTATTTTATTTAACCAATAAATTTTAAAATTATTAATTTAAAATTAAATCACTCAATCATATTAAATAATTAAATTTATTTAATTGATCAATTTTAATTTAAAAGTTTAATATAATTAAACATTAATTCAAATATATAATTTAGTAATTAATTAAATAGACTAATTAATTTAAAACAAAAAAATCTTTTAATTGATAAAACCAATCAATTAAATTTAAATCTCTAACTTGATTGAATTAATTAAATTTAGGTTTCATTTAATTGATTTAATCAATTTCAAATTAAGTAATCTAAACTAACCAAAAATAAAATGAAATCTTTAATAATTGATTTAAAACATACCTAATTAAATAACTAATTAACTAAAAATTAAATTTAATTAAATAATTAAGTAATTTTAAAAATGTAATTAACGAGTTGAGCGATACATTGTAATTTAAAATTTAAGTTTTAAACCAACTATATTAATAATGAAAGTTAAAATGCAAGTAGAAAACACCAAGGGAAGAGCAATTTTGTTGAACTTTTATATTTTTGAATCAAACTATAAAATCATAGAAAATAATTGTTTGCACTATACAACTTAAATACATGTCTCACCAACTAAAATAAAAAGAAAAAGCTAAAAAAAATCCTAACAAATCTAAACCTAGCTCCATCTCCTAACCATAAGCAACTCCTCGCAATATCCAGCTCCTGGTAAACCCTTCAGCTACAAGCTTCAGCTTTTACAACTGTTAGCTTTGAACACCTACAAACAAGTAGATGAAAGTCAACAGTTGGTAAATAAAACTTGTGATGGAAAGAACAAAATTGGTACTAAAATAAATAGGAAAAACTAATTTTATAAAGAACAAACAAGTAGGTAAAGCTATTACTACAGTCAAAACTAGTGCTGAAAGAAAACTAAGATTGTCAGCAAAAATATTCTTATAAACTAGGAAGCAATTTTCATATATTTTTATAAGGCAGGAAATAATTTTAACTAACTCTATAAAATAAGAGACAATCAATATATCCTCCTACAAAGCAGGAGGTGTTTTTCATCTATCCCTGTAAATTAGGTGATAGATTTTGTATAATATTGCAAAGTAATATGCAATTATCATATATATGCTTATGCGAAGTGAAAGGCGATGATATATGAAAATGCTTACTAACTAAATGATCTATCTATGATGACTAAATATTTCATGCTCACAAACCTAAAGGTTGAGCTTCTAGAAAGGTTAAAAGCCTAAATTTTAACTCAACAAAATAAATAAACTGCATATATGCGTACCAAAGAGATGGTAGAGAGGCAATCAAAGTCGAAACTGGAGGCTAATTATCTGATGTTTAACTCTGAACAAGCAATCATGTAGTACTCTCTGCCTCTCCAGAATAGCCTCTAAATAATGATTTGTCATGTCAAAGTCATCAACTGATGTAGATTAATTCTTCTCTAATATGTCAGCCTCCTCAGTTATCCACTCAAAATACTCCTCAGTACGAGCAGCTACTGCCCGGATCAGTGAGTGTCTCTCCAAAGGAATCCTCATCCTTTACTTCAAAGCTTTGAGCTCGACTGATATAGCCAAAATATAAAATTTCTCCTTATATATGTCTCAATGATAGTGTTTTAAAGTTTACAAACCAAAATCTAGATCAAAAGCAAGCTCTCCTCATTCTATCCCAAGAAGCTCTGGCTCTTGTCTTTAGCTTAGTAAGAATTTCATATGACAACTCCTAAGAGATGATATGCAGCTAAAATAGTCCAAACACTATAGTATGGCAGAGAAACTTCTAGTCCTGTAGAATGCTATCCTGAAGGCCACATGCTGCAATAAAATATAAGAGTAGACTAATATTTGTGTAGAAACTAAATAGATCTAGAAGAGCGTTAAGGTCCACTCTCAACTGTAAAGTTTGTAGTGCAGCAACAACACACTAGACTCCTCTCAACCATCACTGACCAATAGATCCGTGGGCCTGGGACACTGATCTTGAGGTAAAACACAGTAGCCTAGACCTAGATACAAAGGGAGAAGAGGGGTTATTATCAAAGGAAAAAAAGAGAAACAAGAAATTAAATATCCTAAAAAATAGAATAATACCTAAGGGATAAAGATCCACTAAAAAATCTATAGATCATCTAAAAAATCTGTAGATCGGTAGTCACCTAAGCGAGACGTGATGCTCGGTGAAGAGCTCCTTGATGAACAACTTGGGGCACCTGAGCAGAAGAATGACGAGTAATAAGTTCCGTCACAGTGACACCAACATCACTCGTGGGTAATACCTAGGTAGAATCACTATGAGTAAGCTGAGCATTCGATGAAGACCCTCATGATGAATAATCGATGATCACCTAAGTGGAAGTTGAAAGCAATAGAGATGAAGCACCCAACTCTATGCTAATACCATCATTGTCATCGATAACACTATGAGCAAGTTAAAAAGATGTTGATTGATTGCCTACATGTATATGCATAAAAAGAAAGATGAAAATAAAGAAATAATTGTGAATAAAATGCCAATGAATAGATAGGCATATAAGAAATATTTATCTCAAATATCTCTACGAGGAACAACGGTGATGTGTGTGCACCCAATAACCAGGTGACCATCTACATCATCTAATGATATAATGTACTTAGATCTACTAAGTATAGGTTCTGCCTCTATATTCAAACATAAATACACACACACACAGGGACATGAATGAAATTATACATGGCAGTACCTGGTGTCGGGCTTAGGATGGTACCACAACCTAGCAAAATAGGGATGAACTCTTTGTGCTGCATCTTAGGGAAGGGTTTGCTACCTAACTAAAAGGAAGAAAAGTGAGGCCTTGTTCAACCCAAAAAATGAGCATAAATAATATGCATTAGTACCATCATCACTACGAGGGAACTCATATAGGCTTGAAAGGACATGCAAAGCATTTAAGTCAACTGACACCAAAACAATGAGCTTGGTAGGTCATCATAAGCATATCTAGGTGATGAAATAAAGAATTTTATTATAACATAAGGATAAAATTCAATGTATATTGCTTAGAAAAGGGAAAGCTATATAACTTGACTGGTCATATGACATCATGCTCCTAAGGTGGGCCCTATCAAAGGCAGTGGAGAGAAGTTTACATCTGTGTAAGGATATTACAGAATCTGTATGTCATTACGAGTAAACAGGAGGAGAATAAAAGAAAAAAAAAAGAAATAAGACAAATAAATATACAAGTTAGATACCAAGGCTTCTCTTCCTCCTGCTACAAAATCTAGATGGCTCTCCCTATGTACAAGTGTTATATAAAGACCCAAAAGAGCATTTCGGTCATCTCGGATCCATAACCCGTATACTATACCACTAGATGCCTAACTTGGAGGAAAATGTATGTCAAATCCAGGATAGACATAAATGTGCAATGCTAGTAGGAGCATCTTTTTGCACTATGTAGAAGCGAGATCATATCCTAAAGTAAAGAAGAGAGATCCAAGTAATATAAGCTACCTCAACGCAAGTGGAGGATGAAAGAGAGCTGAATTGATGATGGTTTGTCACTCTAGAAAGGATTGGAATCCCATCCAAAGGTGTGGCATGGATAAAACCAAACAGTCATGCTACTCTGTTGGGGTTATACCCCTCTAAAATGATAATATCATCATGCATATACTAGAGCCAGTCTGGACTCATGCTAATGAAGTATGAGATGATGGAAGAGTATCCACCTTGAGAGAGCAAAGTGGGTCCTTCCGTCTCAATCTGAGGATCTATAAGCAAAACACCTAAGCTCTGAGGAGGTAGCTGCTCAGCTGGAGATATGTAAATTAGCCAGAAGTGATCAACCATCTATAATGGGGTGAACATGAATAATTTAAATGGAAGCTCAGTTTGTGGCTGAGGTCACTCTAGAAAGATGAATAAAAAATGGGAAGGAGTGGTCTATGATGTAGCCTAGTAACGCAACCCAACTGAAAGCACCTGTAATGTGAACGTGCACCTACAATGAATGTAATGCCACAATATCTCAATGATGCACTAACAATGATTGTCAGAAGCAGTAATCTGACCAAATCTCTGACATGCCGACATAAGTATTGTCAGAGCTAATGAAATCTGCCGGCCACTAGCAATCAAGCTAGCCATTAAGAGAGTGCTGGGATGAAAGACCATGTGTTCTTCGAGAAAGATGAAGTAGTAAAACCACATGGATAGAAAATGCTATCAAATACATCTCCTCTAAAATCCCACTAGCCATAACTGACTATGCTTCTTCTACCAATATAGGCTCAAACAGCTCGGCTGAAAGTTATTCACTATACTGAAGTTCTATATATGGGGTTGAGTAGTTTGCAATACATATGCCTCCTAGATTAGTAGGCTCTTGATCCAAGCATCCAAATAAACTGTAACCCCACAACGATAGCCTCTCTAACTCTGAAGATAACAATTATGAGTTAAACTCTAGTGAAGGCCATCTGAGTACACAAACTCCCCTCACTTAAACGAACCAGCTGGTTGATGGCTGAACAAGTCATAGTTTAGAGGAAAACTGTCACGACCCGACCCGATCCGGGACGGATCCTGCTCGCACCGGGTCGCGACACGGAACAAACAGACAGACTGACTGACTAGGATCTGGTTATGGAATTTGGTTCGGAACTGAATCTAT